TCGTCATCTCTTGATATTGTCTTTATTTTGACCATTTCAATGGAGTTTGTTGAATGGGAAAAGTCTTGTTGTTATTGTGCTATTTTTTTAGCTTTTGGTTTTTTTGTTATTTTAGCAAATAATTTCATCAATATTTTTGATGAAAGCTTTTTTGTCATCATCACGGGATTTTGAATTAATAATTAAATTATTTTCTGATTCTTATTGTGAGTACTAAGGATTGGTGAGCAATTATGTTTCTTCTGGATGTGGGTGGTATATGGAGATCTGTCTGTTCCGAAAATTATATAATATTTGTAAAAAGCCTTTGGATGTTTAAAGCAACAAAATAACTACAAGTTGGAATAACGTTCATTGCTATGGGTGGATTCCTGCAAAATAGACTGATGTAATTCTACAAAGTACCAATTATCAGCAAAGAATTCATCATCCAACTTGTTTGTATTTCTATTGGGATTCGATGATGCTGAAGAAGGATTTGAAGAGTTTCCATGATTACGTAGATAGATATCCTTCGCAGAGGCTGGCAATGGATTCAACAAATCAGCCCCAGCACTCTTATAATCATAATTTGGAGTGGAAGGCATTACTATAAGAGAGGCATTGCCATTCACTTTGCAAATACCATTCTCTACCAAGAGACCCAAGCTTGCTCTCATATCACCAGATAGTTTGGCAAATTCGGAGAGTCCCATCTGTGCCATTAATTTTCCTCCTCCATTGTTGTTGTTATTATTCATGGCACTACTTCCGTTATTGCTTGTTGTTGTGCTTCTTCTGTTGGTGTTTGATGATGGTGAAAAGCCTTGTTGTTGCATTTTTCGACCGTTACATATTTTAATTGTTTTTTAAATTATTAAATATTATTTTAATAATTTAATAGTTTGGTTTTTAATTGTTGTTATTTATCGTTCTTCTTCTTGACTGGATGATGATTTACTCTTGGACATGGACTCGAGAGCTTTCTTTCTCAGTGTTTCCGAAGTGGAATTTTCATTGGATTTTCTTCTTGAACTAATATAATTGTGACCATCAGAGTCAGAGTCATCGGATGATGAAGGAGGTGGTGTCGGCTCTGATCTCTCAGATGATGGTTTCCTAGAGTTGTAAGAATATTTAGAGTGCTTTCTTGGTGGTGATCTGTTCTATCAG